AGCAACTGAAGTAAAGAAACAACTCCTCGAAACTATAAAAGAACTTAAAAGAGAAATACTATTACAGGTAAAAGAAGATATGAGAACCATAATAAAAGAATTGCTAAGCACCTCTAAAGAAGACACAGATAAAAGAATAGAGGAGCATAGAAAAAGCAGGGAAACCTTTAATGAAGAGTATAAAAAAATTTAGAACACATGAAACAGATTCAAAGAGATTACCAGAAAATTAAAAACTCCATGAAAAGCTGGCAAACCTGCTTGAAAGAAACTAAAGATAGACTATCAAACCTTGAGCACAGGGTTGCAGCTTGCGATCATGAAAGGAAAGATCTCTTAAAAATAACAAGGAACCAGAAAGTAACAATACAAGGCTAGAAGATGACAAGTGGATCTATAACTTAAGAATAAAAACATGTGAGTGAAGAAGCAGGGGTAAACACAAAGGCAATACAAAGGCTATTTACAGAAATAATTAAAGAGAACTTTCCAAGCATAGGAAAAGGAAATGATATTCAGATATATGAGGCATACAGAACTCTAGCCAGCTATAACCAAAATAGATCTATACCCATATATACCCATATAATACCTATATATACCCATATAATGACCATATTATACCCATATAATAATCAAAATGCCAGAAATTCAACACAAGAACAGACTATTAAAATAATATTAAAAGAAACAGATCATCTATAAAGGAAAACCCATCAAAATCATGGCAGACCTCTTGACACAAATCATCAAATCCAGAAGAGTTTGGAGAGAAGTATCCCAAACCCTGAAAGAAAATAACCTCTAACCCAGATTGATGTACCCTGAAAAACTAGCTCTCAGAATTAATGGAGAAACAAGATACTTCCATGACAAAGAGGAACTGGGGGAGCTCATGACCACCAAACCAACTCTACAACTCTACAAAAAATACTGAAGGACATTCTAGAGAGAGAGAAAAAAGACTATGGTTTCAGGAACAGTGGAAGAGGGGCTCACTGAATGGGGAAGACAGTGGAATAAAGGGGAAAAGTAGACAACCAATGGTAGAAAAATAACATGGCAGAGATGAGGCAGGGAAGGCTGGCTATAATCACTAATATAGATGGCCTCAAGTCACCAATAAAAAGAAACACAGGCAGAGTGGATCAGGAGATAGGGTCTATCAATATGCTCTATATAAGAAATATAATTAACCTGAAAGAGGATTTATAGACTGAAAGTCAAAGATGAGAAAACAATGCTCCATGTGACAAGGAGCTAGATAAAAGTGGGTGTAGCTTGCCCATCAGATGCAGATTAAATAGAGAGCCATAACACTTTTGTGCAATGGAAAACTACTCAGCTATAAAGAAAGAAAACCTTGAGGCTCTTGTAGGTAAATGGGTACAACTTGAGATCATGCTCAGGGGTAAAAAGGTTCAGAATCACTTAAGTAAATAGCTGGTTGCCTCCCTAAAAACTAAAGGAGTTAGTGGGATGCAAAATGTACAATGCATCCTGTGAAAGTGAAAGGGGAGGAATTGTCTAAAAAGAGAAGGTAGTGGACATTGTTAATCTTTTATCATGATTTGAAACCCATATTATTTTCATCATATTATTTTCATCATTCTATTTAGTTTGGTTTTACTATGTTCCAGTTTGTCTTCTTGTATTAGATTTGATGGCATGGACAGCTATTCCAAAGATAGCAGGATATATTATAGTAACATTTTTGATTTCCTGTTAACTTGATTTGAAGCCCTGTATTGCTTTCACTGTCTTTTTTGACTGATTTTACTCTGTTCTGTTTTGTTTGATAGTATCAAGTCTGAGGGTACAGGCAACTACTTTGAAGACAATAAGATTCACTATGATACCCATTCTGGTTTGACTATTATCTTTTGAGGTCCTGTAATGTCCCCAGTGTTTCATTTTTATTGGTTTTGTTCTGTACTGTTTTGTTTGGTTTTGTTATACCTGATGATAAGGGCAATTCTTTTGAAGATAGCAAGAGGCATTATGGTAACCATTGTTGATCACCTTGTATTTTGTTTTTACATCATGTACAATGTTCATCCTTTTGTTTGGACTAGCTCTTATTTGTTTTGTCATATTTGGTTGTATTCTCTTCAAAACAAAGTAATAAGAACTGCAGGAGAAATAAAACCTAAAATGTGTAATTGTTATTGTAAAGAAGAGAGGAAAAGAAAGTGATCTAAAGGATACAACTGCATGTATGTTTAAGTGTATAAGATAGATGACCATATTACTAAGTTTTTGTTGGATCATTGAACAGAACTGTTTGCAGTCTCACTGTTTGAATGTCCTATTTGTATGCTTTAATTTTATAACTTGAACAAGTATTTCTAAGATGACAATATGTAATCTGTCAAATGGTGATTTCTTACTGTTTATTTTTTGAAATTCTGTATTACTTCTACCCTTTATCTGTGTTGCTTTTTTTCTCTTTAAATAAAATTTAAACAAAAGAAAAATAAATAATTTTGAGACAGGCACTTTGAATATTAAAATGGTTCCTTGAGTGTGAGCTAATTATACAGCCTACACCTGTCACCCCAGGATTCTTCAGTGTCCTGCCAAGTTCCCCTGATGCTCTGGGAAGATGGGGAAGCTTTCCCTTGGTGTTTGAACCAATGAGCCAAGTGAAGATGTGCTGGCTTCATGGCACAGATGTAGTCCTCTCAGGCATGGTTTCTGACTCATCTGACTGTGTGTGTGTCCATGACAATTGGTACAGAATCTCCTGCTCCAATAGTGGCTCTCCGCAGTAACTGACTGACCTGTCCCCATCTTCCCAACAGCTTCCTTAGCACTCTTTCATTCCAGGTGGGCTGTTCCCAGGCAGAATCATCACTGTGTCAGGCATTGTCCCACACAATGCTAAGAGGTGAGACAGGACCTCTAGGGATCTCAGGGAGGAGAGAGCCACCCCCGGGCTCCAGAGAGGAGGAGAACGAGAGGGAGGAGGTGGACTGGACCACAAGACAGTGTAATGTGCCCACTCCAGCTTCAATATCAAACTGTACACCAGGTAGGACATCAACTTCCACATGAGAACTCTTTTTGATGAAGATACTGTGATCCTAAACACTCAGATCCGTGGCATCTGGGGTGAGGAGGAGCGAAGCCTGCCCTGCAATATGCCCTTCACATGAGGATGCAGCTTTGAGGTAAGGGGCTGCAGCCTACAGCTTGGGCAGCTGGGTGCAAGGATAGAAGAGATGAAGAGAGCTGGCGGTACCTTGAATGGGTGGAGGCTGATGCCTGAGATAGGAGGGCTGAGCCCTAAGGGAGACAGAATGTGCCACAAATTAGTAATGATTTGTGATTACTGTCCCCCATGAGGTACAAGTATTAGCATCTAACTTTTGTAGATGAGCAAACAAAATCACAGCCAAAGTTACTTTCCAGAGACACATAGCTCATTTAAGACGCACGAATGAGGTGGTGGCCATATGTTTGCATGTTCATGCTGCAGTCATTCATCAACTCTTTGACTGGACATTTTGGGTACAGGGAAGGCCCAATGTGCAGGGAAAGTAGCCAAGAAGCAGAGACCAGGTCTCCCTATGGGGCTATGACTTAGGTGGAAAGGAGCCAGGCAATCAAGGTATGAGCTGGAGATCACAGATAAGGACAGGTCCTGAGCAGAAGGCAACCAGGGACTCAGGTGGAGGGATCCTCACTGCAGGGAAGATGTGCAGAGGAGGGAGGTTTAAAGATGTCCAGCTCTGTCCAGAGCTGTACTGCAAGGCGCAGAGTGAGGGCAAGAGGTGTGGGGTGTGGGTGCAGCCTAATCACCAGAGCAGAACTTTCCATCCTGACTCCACATTCAGATTCCCCATAGGGCTTACAGAAGAAGGATGAAACTGTGTGCTGTGACACAGCCTGCAATCCCAGACTTCCCAGAGGCTGAGGCAGGAGCATGAGACACTGGAAACCAGCCAGGCATTTACAACTTAGTGAAATGCTTTCCCAAAGTGAAATATTTAACAACTGGAAGGGAACGGGATTGTAACTTAGTGCTATGGTCCTGGGTTCAATCTAGAGTACAGTGGAAAAAATGAAAATTGAAAGCCAATGTGAAAACAACAGAAAAGAGAAAGATAAGGAGAAAGAGAAAGAGAAAGCTAAGAGAAGAGAGAAGAAAGAGGGAAAGAAAGGAAGACAGAGGAACATCAAAAGTGAAGCCTAGGTCCCTCAGTCATGGAGCTGTCAGCTGGACACCCCCTTAGCCACGGTGAGCCCTAAGTGGCTGCGCTCTGTGGCTACAGTTGGAAATGGCTGGTGTGAGGTTTCCCTAGGCCATGAAAGGAACGAGGTTTTACTTCACTGAGAAGCCACGGAGGAAGGAGCTTGGAGACAGCACCTCTGATTTGTAGGACGCTGTGTAACCTTGGGGAAGCAACTTAACTACTCCACGTGTCCATTTCCTCATCTACCAAGGGGGCTCAGAATCTCATGATGTAGGAGTTGTGGGAACGGTGAAGATTGTATATGCACATGCTAGGAGAGTAACCCGCATGCAAGTGTAGTTTAGTGTGACCACTGCTGTTTGCACACTAACTGCCTCCTGGAGAAGGTCCTAGGCTACAAAGGATGAGGCAGGAGGCTGCTGCTGCTTCTGTGGAATACAGGCATGGACATGGGTGACACAGTTAGCACAACACTGCAGCCTGAGGTGGTACCACATGGCAGTTGGTCCCTGGGAGGGCTGTGGTGGGGCAGGAAATGCTTGCCATGGAGGGTGGGCCTGAGGGCCGTGGCAGTTACACACAGGGCAAAGATACAGGCTGTGAGCAGCACTGCAGGCTAGAACCACATGGGCTGAGGTACAGGGAAGGAGAGCACAGGGTGTTTAGGGAGCAACAGGTACTTCACTAAGGGTGAGGGCCTGGTGGGCAGAGTAAGGAGGTGGGGAAGGAGGGAACCTGAGCCCCAAGTGAGGGCTGAGGACTCTCTACATGGACTGTGAATGGCAAGGCCTCTCTTCCCAGATGGAGATCATATGCAAAGCTGACTGCTACGTGCTGGCCATCAACGGCCGATTCCTGCTGCAATACGGTCACTGCCTGATGGACCTCAAGTCCATTGATCACCTGGAAATCACTGGGGATCTCGAGCTCACTGCAGTGCAAGTCTACACGGGCTCACTGACCTGGGGCACCACTCTCTGTGCCTCCCCCACCCCCTCTTCTTCCATGCCCTGCAACAGCTTGCAGAGCCCTGTTTCTAAGTAGAGAGTTCCACTCATTGTAACAGCAGGAAAACCTCCAGCTCCAATCCTGCTGGCAGTGTGAGGGTCCTGAGCAAGCTAGGACCTCAGCAAAGGCCCACATGGCATGCAGCTCTCATTCACCCCTCTTACCTTCTCTGTGACCTATTCAGTCTCAAGTCACAGATGTGCACAGCACTGACAAGGATACCTGCACATCCTTCCCATTCCTGTGACCTTAACCTTTCTCCTTGGCTTTGCACCCTGCTGGGACACAATCCCCTTGGAAAGGCTGCTCTGGTCATATCCCGCTTGCTTCCAGAAACATTCCCACTGAGGGCTCTCCCCTTTGAAATAAAGAAAACTTTGTAGTGTTGGCATACACAACTGACTGTTTTGTTAGTGCTTCTGGAGACATTTTAATTTTCTGGGATTGAGAGTCCTTGTCCAGCTGAATGGGAAAACACAGCACACATTTTCTTTGGGCTAGAGGTTCCATACCTACTCCTAGATGGTCCCTGAGGAAGCCCACAAGGGTGCTGAAGAAGACAGCTTGGGCTGGAGCCTTGGGTAGAAGTGTCTCTGACACAGGCATCTTAGTATCCCAGTGAACCCCGGAAGTATCCCCATCTCACTGAGAGGGGAAAAGGCCAAGTGAATGTGTGGGGTCACTGCAGAGACCAGAAACCAGATGGCCTTGTGCCAGGTAGAAGAGGAGGAGACAGGATACTTGTCATGACGGTTTTCCTGCTGAACACATGTCTGTCAGGAACAGTTATCTGAAACGCAGCAGACTGCGTACGGTAGTCCCGCTATGCACCCAGGTGAATCCATCAAGGACTTGCTCCTTCATGGTGTGTGACTCAGGCAAGAGCATCACCAGGAAACTGCTTAGCAATCTCAGGTACTCCTGCAGACCTACTACACAGGAATGTGCATTTTAACCACATCTAAGTGGACTGGTGTGTTTCCGGGACCATGTGCGCAGCCCCATTCTAGATGGCTGGATCCTTGGCCAGGCTGCCAAGCCTGTTGGTTGCTGCTCAGTGCACAGAGCTTATCTGGGTGACCAGAAGTTTAGCAACCCTCCTCCTGCCCTCACATGCTGCCAGAAGAGGAAATAGAAGCAGCAGGGAAAACAGAGAGGGAAACCATGAGGTGTGAGCAGCAGGAACCTTGCCTCCAACTGAGTCCCTTCCATAGATCTGAGCAGAGACTGCACTCTGTCTTCTCCAAATACTCCTGGCTGACTGCACCATGAGAAGGAGCCTGGCCTCGCAGGCAGGCAGGGATGTGGGTGTCTTTTGCCCCCCCTCCCACCCACTCCCCATTCTTCTCTTATAGGAAACCATGCTTGATTTTTCTAGATGCTATACCACTGGCCAAATTTAACCAAACAGTTGGCTGCAAGGCAAAAAAAATGTGGCAAAATGTGGCCTGGAGGACAAGGCCTTCGTGAACATCTGGCATGGGGGCCAGGACCCCCTCACCTCAATTAGTGTACACTGCGTCCTGTGCAAGGCACAACTCCCGCTCTCAAAAAAAATCCTTCCCTCCACCACCCTCTCGAGGTGTGCTCACAATTCCATGGGCTTCCATTTCATAGAGGAAGGATGGTTTGGTGGGTGGTGCCTTGACCATTGTAAGCCTTCTTTCTGCTATATCTACAATACAGTGACACTCATAGCACACACAGCACACATACACTCACACACACAACACACAGCACACGTATACTGATACACTGACACATACACACAGAATACAGATAAAATCAAATGCTTCTAATATAAATTTTTTCATCAAGGAAACATACAGAGAAGACTCAAGTGGCTCTTGGGAGCAGACAGTGGTGCATTAATGCAGAAGCATAAAATCTTACCCAGGGCCTAGGACTATGCAGAGGCACAATGTCCCCTCCAGGGAGACACTCAAACTGCTTCAAGCAGAGGAAGCTTCCTTCTTCCTCTCAGGCCTAGCATGGAAGATTCATCTCCAAGGGGCCAGAGAGAGTGGGCTTCAGGGGCAAAGGTGGCTCCGTCCAGTCCTGGATACTACTTGATGTTAACTGAAGTGAAATTTATGTAACAAAATGTATCATTTTGATAAGTTTCTGTGTAGAGCTGAGGTGGCCTTCAGTATCACTACATTGAGCTCCAGACAGTTTTCATCTTCCCCAAACGTGTTTCAGGACTCACCAAACACAAGCCCTTGCCTCTCTGCCCTGGCAAATACCAGTTTTAACTTTGGGAATTAATAGCATTTTAGGGGTACTGATTATGATACCGTCATTCTCTATATTTTTATGCTCATCATCTAAAGAAAATAAATGACACTGATTTCCACAGAATGGTAGTGAATCAAATGTCACTCATTTACACCAAGAGTCTCACTCTGACACCTCTCTCATGAGCCTTCCCTGGTGCTGCTCAAACCAGGCAACCACAGCACCCAGCACCCCCGCCAAGAAGAGAACAATCGAGTCCTGCTCCATTGCTGAGCTTCCTGCCCCACAGGCCCAGTGTATGAATTTCATTTTCAATTTTATAATGTTTATAGCTTACGATGGATTCCTTAGGTAGTAAGCCTCAGAGGGTATATGGTTTAGCACTGCAGGTTGATTCTTGCAGGGGAAAGCCAGATCCCATTGTTCCTTGAGGCTGTCTGGAGCAGGAGGGCACTAGCTAGAGTGCCTCCATGACAGCACAGACCTGAGATTTCCTTCCTCCTCTGGACGGAAAGTCCACAGCTCCAGCGAGCAACTGCTCCCATTTTCTCTAATGACCAGCAGTTCCATGTCAATGTCACTGAGCACATGTTCTGTACCAGGCCTCGCTCTAGGTGTTATTCATCCTCTTACAACTCTGCTAAGGTGCTGTTACCGGAGTTTTAGCATTGAATGGAGAAACAGAGGCAGTAAAATTGGTGCTCTTTGTTCAAGAAGAAACAGATAGCAGCACTGTCTTTAATATGGGCTCTCATGAGTCCAGTTAAAGCTCAGGCCCTCAGGCTGGGACTGTGGCCTAGTGGCACAGTGCAGGCCTAGCATGTGCTAGGCCTTGGTTTCAATGCCAGCACCACAAATAAAAAAGAAGCAAAGCGCCAGGGCTTTAAGCACTGTGGTCAAAGGAGAAATGGACACCAAAGGCTGAAGGGTCCCAACCCTCAGCAGTTTCTCTGAGTGGTCAGCAGGAGTTGCAGGCAGCGCACATGCAGAGAGAGAGTCCATAAGCACTGGACACACAGTTAATGTACAATGCCCGAAGTCCTCTGTCGCAGGGGATCTGACAATGCCCTTCCACAACAGCACATCTGTTCCCCAGAAGGGTAGCACTGCATGCTCTCTGTGAGCACTTGTCTTCCTTCTCTGCACAGTCGGGTATCAGCAACACAGCAGCAGCTAGGGGAACATACACACAGTGTCACACTGACATGGGGTATTCCATAGAAATGAACAAAACACTTGGATACCTAAGGTGTGAGGAAAGAAGATATTTTATGTCACTGTGGATATACTTTACTGTAGCAATTTTAATTTTTCCCACATTACCAAAGAAGTAATCAACGGGGCTTTCTAATGAGCTACACCCCCACGTATTTTTGAATTTCCTAAAATTTTGACACAGGTTTTCACTAGGTTGCCCAGATGAGCAGCCCGTGTCAGCCTCCCAGAGTTCTGGGATTGCAGGTAAGGACCACAGTGCCCACCTTCTTTAGGATTTTTAAATGTCAAAAATATTTTTGACATTTATCTCTGTTGCATCTATCTGTAACACATTCCTTTAACTCACCGGATAGTATTCCATTGTGGGGGGCTCCACGGTGTGTTCAGCAGTTTGTTTTTTATGGGCACTGGATCTATTCCCATTTGTGGCTATTACACATGCAAATGCTGGTCATTCTTCACACATGTGTTTGTGTGGACATATGAATTCATTTATTTAGTTTGGATAAATAAATAGAACTAGAACTTCTAGGAAGTTAAGTTTGACCTTGGGAACACTTAACAAAAGATTTCCCAGAAGGTTTACGAGTTCCCAGTCACACAGATGACACAGGAAACCTCCATTATTGCCCATCCTTGTCAGCACTGAGTGCTCTTTTTCAGCTGTAGCTTTAAAAGCAGGTTGGTGAAAAGCAGTTTGGTTTTGGTTTGATAAGCAATCCTGGGAATCACAAGGGGGACTCTTCCTCACCAGAAAAGTGCTCTACCACTGGGTTACTGCCCTGCCGTGGGGTACAGCTATCATCTTATATTCTCTTCCTAAAAGTTTTATACAGTTAGGGAACACTGTCATAAGGGTTATCCATTTCTGTTTCATTTTTCTGTATGATTTGAAGTATGGGAAGCAATACTTACATTTTTCCAGATACACACCTGGTTTATCTAGCACCATTTGTTGGAAAAGAGGTTTCTTTTGATTTCAGTTGCTTTGGTACATTCCCTGAGCACCCTCTGGCCAAAGAAGTGTGGCTCTGCTTCTGTGGTATCTCACTGATTTCTCTTCCTGCCTTTTCCACAGCACCATGGTGCAGGGACTGCAGTCACATCACAGTGCCTCAGGAAAACCGCAGAGTGTGTGCAGTCTCTCCTTGTTCTTCTTTGTAAATGTCATTTCAGCTCCCCGAGATCTTATGCCTTCTGATACAAGTTTTCGAGTTTCATTACTAATTTCCCCCCAGCGTTGAAAACAATGAGAAACAAATTCTTGTTGTTTGTTAGCTGTTTGTTCAAGGTATTTTCCTGCAGCAGCTCAAAAGCACTCAGACAGTGACATTATTTGCAAGCCCACCCTCCTCCTGCAAATATTTACATGCACATCTAATTGTGAAGAGCCAACAATAAAGGAATCCAGAGTCAGAAAGCCTGGCAAGCTCTCCTCTCACAGAATCCCTTTGAAATCATCTGTTGAAATGTC